CTGAAATAATTAGTGTTTTGTGACTATAATTTTTGAACTTCTAGATGTGCATTTGTGTTAACCTGACAAGGTACAGGATGAGATGCTATAAAAAGTGGATTCCAATTTCATGCATGGGTAAAATCCCCACTCTCTAAATCCACAACACTGATGTAAGTACACAGAAGGGAGAAAAAAAATCGTAAACTATCCATACATTGATGACTATAAAGGAAAAGGACAGGAGAGATACATGTCTAATTTCCAAATGATGGAGTCCAAAAAAGAAAGAAAGAAAGGAAGGGAAAGGGAAAAAAAAGAGTAAACATGAAAATAAGTGGTAAAAACCTCAAAAGGACCAATACCAAAACATTAGCCAGGGTCATCCTTGAATGAAAAGAATATAGGTGATTCTTATTTTCTTCATTTTGATTAGCTGCATTTCTATATTTCTCTAAATTTCTCATCTTGTTTTCCTCTTTGCCCAGTTCCTAATACAGACACTTAAAGGAAGATAACACATTTCTTAATCTACCATACAACGGTATGCTAGGATAGCAGTTGCCATGTTTAACCTTTTAAATTCTGATTTTCATTAAAAAATCTAGAGACAACAGATGACAGAGAGGATGTGGAGAAAGAGGAACTTTTACACTGTTGGTGGGAGTGTAAATTAGCTCAATCATTGTGGAAGACAGTGTGGCGATTCCTTAAGGACCTAGAAATAGAAATTCCATTTGACCCAGCAACCCCATTACTGGGTATATATCCAAAGGATTATAAATCATTCTACTATAAGAACACATGCACGTGAATGTTCATTGCAGCACTGTTTACAATAGCAAAGACCTAGAACCAACCCAAATGCCCATCGATGATAGACTGGACAGGGAAAATGTGGCACATATACACCATGGAATATTATGCAGCCATAAAAAACGATGAGTTCGTGTCCTTTGTAGGGACATGGATGAACCTGAAAACCATCATTCTCAGCAAACTGACACAAGAGCAGAAAATTAAACACTGCATGTTCTCAGTCATAGGCGGGTGTTGAACAATGAGAACACATGGACACAGGGAGGGGAGCACTACACACTGGGGTCTGTTTGGGGGAAACAGGGGAGGGACGGGGGGGTGGGGAGTTGGGAAGAGATAGCATGGGGAGAAATGCCAGATATAGGTGAAGGGGAGGAAGGCAGCAAATCACACTGCCATGTGTGTACCTATGCAAATATCTTGCATGTTCTTCAAAATGTACCCCAAAACCTAAAATGCAATTAAAAAAAGAAAAAAGAATTCTGATTTTAATTGCTAGTGCAATGCTTGCCCTCTAAGAATTCATTCTCTAGTGTCTTTGAGTATAAATATTACCATTAAAAGTTCACCTAAGAAGCAATTTAATTTTTTAAAAGAAAAAACATGTCCTTACCCAAATCAACACATTTTTGAAAAATGACAAGATAAATTATTAACATAAGCACTGTCCAGTTAAAGCATATATCAATACTGTAACATTAAAAGTCATCTACTATTAACTAAATAATCAACTTTTTTTTTCTTCTTGACATCCGATTTTGGGAGATGAATCAACTTTTAAATGCATCTATCCTGTATGATGTCTAGCTCAACCCATGTCCTTTTTATAGAACCAAACAATATGATTCCTGGATCAATAGTTACAGAACACAACTATATTTGTAGCACTAACTGTGGGGGGAGGGGGTGGGCAGCAAGAGATCAAAACAGTTCTAGATTCAAAAATGGGGAAAAATAAGTCTTTTAATGTTTAACGCTCTTTAAAAGTCATATTATATTAATATCTCAGATAATCTGATGAACCTCACCTTTTGGTCTTACCCCTAGTTTACACATCCATGCACTACACATATGCTTTTATCTACTCATTCCCTTAACTCAAAATTTTACAGATACATTCTCTGCCTCTAAAAACTTGCCCATCACTTTAACATTTCACTAAATCCTCCTTCTTTTGGGAAATACTTTTCATATTCGTCCAAAAAAATGTGACAATATTACCTTTTTTCCCTTTTGGACAATGTTGTCTCTAAAATAGTCCCTACCAGGTAGGAATGGGTTTGACTGCAGGCAACAGAAAATTGTGTTTAAATCTGTGGTTAAACCACAGGGATATGTATGATTTCGCTGAACTAAAAGTCCACAGGTAGGTGGTTCCAGGGTTCCTTCCGGGAATGGATGGTGTCATCGGGACCCAGACACTTCCAGACTCCCATGCCATCATCCTTAGCATGCCTGGTGCCTCACTGGCTGCTGCCACACCAGATGTCACATCCTCACGCTGTGCTTAAATGCAAGCATCAACGGTATGGCAAAAGGTGTTCTCTCGGAAGGTTCTGTCCTTTATCTGGAGAAGCAGCAGCTCCAGAAATGTTACAGTCCTGTAGGCCAAAACTGAATCACATGGCCACTCCTAGTCACAGGGAAGGATGTGAAAGTATTTCCCTTTTCACTTTCTAGTCAAACTCAATCTCATTTGTAGGAATTAAATGAAATAGTGCCCTATTGATCAATATCCCTATTGCATCTATCCAATTATCTTCACCCCCACCACTCCCCCATCAAATGACACCACTGTACTACAGGCTTCAGAGTATCCCACCTGAAGTCTTCCAACAGTTCCTAACTGGTTCCCTGATTGCCCCATTTTGTCACTTCTACCATCCACTCTGATTTATTTATTTATTTAAGACAGGGTCTTTCTTTGTTGCCCAGGCTGGAGTGCAGTGGTGCAGTCATAGCTCACTGCAGCCTGGAACTCCTGGGCCCAAGTGATCCTTCCGCCTCACCTCCCAAGCAGCTGGGACTACAGGTGCACACCACCACACCTAGCTAATTTCTTGTATTTTTTGTAGAGACTGGGGTTTCACCACGTTGCACAGGCAGGTCTCAAATACCTAGGCTCAAGCAATCCTTCTACCTCAGCCTCCCAAAGTGCTGGGATTACAGACATGAGCTACTGTGCCTGCCCCATTCATTCTTTACACACCGTTGCTCGACATTTAACTGGGAATCTTACCATGTTACTCCTCTTCAGTGGATTGTGGTCCCTAATGGTTTGGCCACACCCACCTCTCCAGCTTCAGCTCCCTCTCCTCACTCAGATCACCTGCTCTTTGCCTCTCAAGAAACCTCAATTTCTTCACACCTCCAAGTTGTTGCCCATGCTACTTCCTCCATCTGAAATGCTCACCTGTTCTGCATCTCCCCTTAAATGTCCTCCCAGTATGCAAGGGTTCATAAGATGTTGTCATTAAGTTCGAAGTGGTTGAATAATCTTTTTTTAAATTTCAGCAGTTAATAGAGGTTTATTTATTAGTAAAACATTGACCCTTTTGTTAAAATCACACTTGAGGAGCCAATTGGCAGAACCTATTTTCTTTTCCAAAATTTTTTGTTCTTTCACCCATATGCTCAACAAACAATGTAAAAACCCAGCTCCATAGCTTCCTACTGGTGATGATGCCTCAGACAAGAGCATTCCTCCATGATTCAATGTCATCTGTAAAGTAATGGCACTATGATACATTGTCCCATTCTCCCCTCAAAGTTGGTGGCCTGCCTTTATTCAATCCTGGTGCTGTGATGGAATGTTTATGTTCTAAAATTAATCCCAAGAAATATATAAAAATGCATGACTTTCAAATACCCTGTGCTGTGCATATTATAAAAATTCAAAGAATCCCAAACTAAAAAGTAAATCATATATTCATATTTTTATCTTTCACAAATTGAAATATTCTATAAAAATTTTTCTACTAATTCTATATTGCAAATTACTTGAGTTAGGCAATATGTCTTTCACTATTTTTTTTTTTTTAAGACAGTCTCTCACTCTGTCGCCCAGGCTGGAGTGCAGTGGCAGGATCACGGCTCACCGCAACCTCCGCCTCCCAGGTTCAAGTGATTCTCATGTCCCAGCCTCCCCAGTAGCTGAACTACTCAAAAAAACCTCAATTTCTTTACACCTCCAAGTTGTTCCACATGCTACTTCCTCTATCTGAAATGCTCACCCATTCTGCATCTCAGCTAATCTCTCCTCAGCTGGGACTACTCAAGAAACCACCACCACCACGCACCACCACGTGCACCACCACGCCCGCCTAATGTTTGTTTTCTTGCTTTTTTTCCCTAGTAGAGACAGGGTTTTGTCATATTGACCAGGCTGGTCTCAAACGACTGGCCTCATGTGATCCCCCCCACTGCCCCCACCAAAGTGCTAGGGTTACAGGCTTAAGCCATCTCGTCCCACTGTCTTTCACTGCTTTTATACTGCAAAGAGTTTTCACAACAAAGATGCTCAGTTGCTCCATACCCAGTCCTTCTGAGGAGTTATGCTTGTATATGACATCCTCACTGAGTCATGTTAATTAAAAGTCCCAGGCTGGCAGGCTGTGGTGGTTAAAACCGTGGAAGCTAGAGGCAGACCTCCTGGGTTCCAACCCTGCTCTGCCACGTACCAGACAGGCAACCCTGAGCAACCATTTAACTTTCTCGTGCGAGGATTTCCTCGCCTGTCGAGTGAGTATAATATAATAATACCTACCTCCCAGGGTTGCTGTGAGAAGTAAGAGACAATCCACAGAAGGCGTCTGTAACGGCGCCTGGCTGGCACACAGCGAACTTGTCAATAACGTTACAGCCTTTCAACTAAGGGCACCTGAAACTCGCAAACATTTTGCCCAGGTGTGGATTCGCTCCCGTGAGTTACAAAACTTGGGATCCCCGGACCCGCAAGAGGGAAAAGAAATCGGGGATGAGGCCAAGGGAAAGCTGCTGGGGCAACTTTTACCCAGCGGAGCCCAGCTACAGTCTTGGCCTCCCGGTCTCAGGTCTCCCCCGTTTCATTTCGAGGAGCCGATCCGGGGAGCGGCGCGGCACAGCTTTTCTCCAATCAAACACCTCAAGGCTGGCGCCACGTCTGCGACCTGATCCAATCTCCTCCCCCGGAGGGCGGGAACGCGAAGTTCCTACCTGCACCTGTGGCAGCGGTGACCGCCTCCTGGGTTATTTTTTTTTCTCTCCCCCACCTGCCCCAGGGTTCTGGTTTCCCGAATCAGTTGGCGAATAACGAGCAGGTAGGCAGATGTCTTTTTCGCATTCCTACCAACGCGTAGGCAAGTTCGATGAGCCAGAGTGAACAGCCAGGGTCCCATCTCTCAGCTGACTCCCAGGCGGTGCTAGCAGGGAAGAGGGACGCGCCGGAGAATGAAACACCACTAGCTGGGAAAGCCGGCCTGGACCTTCACCGGGGGCAGCAAGTCTGGCAGCCCATCGCCGCCGCCCCCTCCGACCAGAACAGACAACGCTGCGAGCCCCGGGCTTCCGCCGCAGCGCGCAGAAATTGGAGGTGCCAGAGGAGACGAGCAGCAGCACTTGATTTAGCTGGGCTGCAGGCATTCCGACCCGCACACTTTCCAGAAGCCTGATCTCTCCAAGTCCGAGCCCAGGGAGGGACTCGAGCCCCGGCTTCCAGGTTGACCCTAGCGCGCCCCCTTCGTGCTCTCGGCCGCGTTTACCGCGCAGGGCCTCTAGGTCGTGTGAAGTCCAAGCAGGTGAGCTACTGGGGGTGGTTCTGCGTCCGCTGAGACAAGGCCTGGCGCCGGGGGTCACCCCGGGGTGCTGCCCGGTGCCTCCCAGGTCCCCGCCTCCCTGCGCGCTAAGAGAGGCTGCAAACCACTGACGCTCCAGGACTGCGTTTTCTGTGCTTTTGCGTAATTTGCCATCTTTTCCTTGCGCAATTCGTACAAAGCCCTTCCGCGCTCACAAAGTTAATTGTGAAGAAGAAAATGCAGGTCAGAGGCCAGAAAGCAGCATCAGGACACCCAACCACCATTGCTACTAAATGACTTGGAGATAGGGGTTGCTTTTCCGATCTGCAAAGTAGGAGGGAATGGGATGTTCGCAGACGCAGTACGTAATTGTGCCTGAGGGTGTGGGTGCCTTTTGTACCGAAGGAACTTTTGAGCGTTTTTTTTTTTCTTGTATTGTTTTCCAGTCGGTGCCGGAGAGTGTCCTCAGGGCATCCTGGGGAGGAGCGGGTGCCGCTGTTTCGGGGCGCAGCCCAGGCCGCTCCGCTGCCTCGCCGCCTCCCCGCCTCCCGTAGGCGATCAGACTTCCTCTCCCTGGCGGTTCCGGGAGGAGAACCTCCTACAACAAACACCGCCGAAGTTTCCCTCGCCAGCGCGTTCGCCAATCCCAGGAGCGCCCGGCGCGTGGGCTGGGAAGGAGCCGAGCGGAAACCTGGAAGTGAGCCGCGGCGCAGGCGAATCCTGCGCGTTGCTGGTGGCAGCGCCCAAGAGACCCCGCACGGAAAGTGGGCTGAGAGTCTCGTTTGCAGCACCAGCACCTAAGAGCTCAGAAGGGGCCTTGCGCTCCGCAGGGGGTGGGGGTGTCTTAGAAGCTCGGGGAAGAAGCTCATTGTTGCGGAGTTTCTGGTTGCGTTTTTTTCTCCTTGAGAGGAGGGAAATGCACAAGGAAAAAAAGAGAAGCCTTTAATTTGTAACTGAAATTCTCCAGAGTTCAGAGTTGTGTCATACAGACTAGGTGCATATTTTTAATACAAAACTAAGGGAAGAGGCCATTTGATACTTGGCTTCATCTCAACCGTCTGCCGGTGGTGACTTCAAAAAGACGCAAGATTGGGCTCTGGGTAACAAAATGAAGAATTAGGATGGCGGTTTTCAAGGGAAGTTAAGTCTAGACATGCTTCTTTGAAAGTCACAAGGCAGAAGTGGTTAAAAGCAGAATTTAAATGATGCAAAACAAAAATATCAAAAGCTTGTTCTTCTCTCCTACTGGAATATAAATTCTCCGAAGTATCTCATCGAAAAGGCTGCTGAGATGAAAGTCTATGGGGACAAATCTTGGAGGGAAGTTTCGTGACTGTTTGCCATAGACTAATTAAGCCTCACTGTTCATCTGTAGAGAGGACGTACTTGGTTCCCAGCGCCCTCCTCCCAGGTGCACATCCAAAGGGAGGCCACTCTGGGGCGAATGGGTCACCTTTGGGCGTCCATCTACAGTCAAGCAGTGTGGACAGAGCGGGTCATTTTCCCTCTAGACGGGTTGATCCAGATGGCCGGGAACGTTCCCTAGTTCCCCCCAATCCCCTCCCCGCGCACGCTGACCACTGCACTGCACTTCCCCTGAAGGCAAGGCGAAGGTTGAAACCAAAGAGTTCAAGGCTCAGCCTGGAGACCAGGTGGTGGCGCCCTGGAAGACACCTTCGCCAGCACCCTCTGGGGCGCAGTGGAGCCTACTGTGGGCTTCGTGGCTCGGGGGTTGGGTCACTCCAACCCCAGCCGATCCGGTGCCAGACGGAGCACAAGGGAGGAAATGGGACCCGGGGACACGTGACTTCAACCCAGTAACCAAGTTTTGTTTCCTTCCCCCAGTACAGGCCGCTCCCTGGGCACCCACCCAGCAGCCCACCTGGGACAAGCCGGAGAAGGGGCGGAGTGAACTGCGGAGACCACGTGGAGAGACTGGCCGCTTTGGCCCTTCCATCCGGGTGCCCGGAGCCCCTAGGCCCTCCGGCCATGGCTGACAGCAGCGGTGCGGGCAGCTCCGGCCCCTGGTGGAAATCGCTCACGAACAGCAGGAAGAAAAGCAAGGAAGCCGCGGTGGGAATGCAGCCTCCGGCCCAGCCTGCTCCCGGGGAGCCCACGCCACCTGCGCCGCCCAGCCCGGACTGGACCAGCAGCTCCCGGGAGAACCAGCACCCCAATCTCCTTGGGGGCACCGGCGAGCCCCCCAGGCCAGACAAGTTGTACGGGGACAAATCCGGCAACAGCCGCCGCAATTTGAAGATCTCGCGCTCCGGCCGCTTTAAAGAGAAGAGGAAAGTGCGTGCCACACTGCTCCCAGAGGGGGGCAGGTCCCCGGAGGAGGCGGGTTTCCCTGGTGACCCCCACGAAGACAAGCAATAGCCTCAGTAGCCTGCGCGCTCCAGGACTGTCTCTTTACCCAGCACTACCCCTAAACCCCCAGTTTCAAACCCGAGACTTCAGGCCTGCCCTCTTACATGTTGTCTAATTCTACCAAATTCAGAATATTCACACAATGCCTTCATTTTATTTTTCTGGAAATTGAAGTGTCAATTGGGTTTTCAATATTTCATGACTCAAGGATGCATTAAATATTTATTTGTGGTAAGAGAAGATACCTGCCGCTGAGGAGGTTGGCATAACTTTTTTCAAAAAGCTATTCTGGGGCCCTGGCCCCTAGGTCATGCTGTAGCCTCTCAAATGAGGAAGGTGGCTGTTATTTAGGACTGGAAAGCAAATCACAGTGCTATTTTTAATGCCTGAGAAATGCCCTTTAGGGGTACCTCCTTAGACTTACACCTTAAGTGAAGGAGTGGGGGAGGAAGAAGCATTCTTAGTAGAAGCATTTTAAAGTAAGGCAGGATTGCTTTTAATGTTAAACTATAAAACTGTACTGCCTATTTTAGTGTGGACTATTAAAACCGTTGCACTGTAAGACTTAAGGTGACTTTTGTATTTTTCCCATTCCAAGACTGAAACCCATCATACTTAGCAGGCATGCAAAGTCCGAGCTGACAGAGTTAATCATTTGCCATACAACATAGCAGTGACTGTTGGAAAGCTGCAGGGAAGAGAACATTTCTGGAAAGCAGCAACACCCGGACTGGAACCCGTTAGCCAGATATCCCTATTTATCAGCCATATTTGAGGAAGGGAAAGAGGTACCAATTCATTATTTCTAAATTCACCTTTTACTTCAGTGCATTTTCATAGACTATAGTAAGTTACAATGCTAGTAATATATCCTTTTCATATCCATTGTTAAACTTACCAATAATTGTCTAAAATTAAAAAAACAGAAAGGACTGAACTCAGTTTGTGCAGCTAAAGAGGTAGAAGGCTTTCTCACACTTTGCTTTAAAAGCTTATTTCTTTAAAGTATGCATGTATCTAGTTTCAGACCCTTTAGATCTACCAACCTGAAGATTCTTAACAAAAATGTTTGCTTTATTATGAACTTCAAGAAAAAGAGTAAAATACCATTTACTTTGAGAAAATTACAAGAGTTATTGTAGTTGTTAAGAGGCCCTGGGATCTTTTCCCACCACAATTCAGTTTATTTGTAAACACCCAGAAATGCATGGCAGGGAAATTATATTGATCAAAGTGTCTATCTTTGTAGATAATGACAAGCAGGAACTTAATTATAGCTTCTCAATTTGTATATATAGACAAGCTATTTTTTTGTTTCTCTCAAATTATAATTTATAAGGTAGTAAAACATCAATTGTTAAATTTAACAAATTTGATGAAGGTGGCTAAAATGAATTTAAATGAATGAATCAAGCTTTGGTACCAGCAGAATAATAGAGCGAACGGTGTGATACATGAGTTTCCGCATACCAAAGGCCTTACACTAACAAACAGTGTTTATCTGGAGGTTATGAACACCTTAAAAAAGAAACTCTATGAGAGGGCTTTTTTAAGCATGAAAAGACATTTTCATTGTATACTTCAAACTGGAAAGTATGTGACCAGAATCGCATCCAGGTGGGCTTCCTGGATGAGGAAGACTACACTAGGTTTAAATGGGCCTATCATCTCTAGATTTAGAAAAAGAAGAGGAAATTGAGACTTGGCATAAAAAAGGAATTCATGGTAAGGGATTGTGGGTTGGTAGAGCAATGCGAGTGAACATAGCACATGTTGTCAAATAACATTTTGGAACACCTTCAAAAAGTATTTCAATTTCACTCTGTAGAAAGTCCCTAATCAAAATTAGAGTAGGTAATTACCCAAAATGTTGTCTTCCTCCTTCCGGAAGACCAATAGATCAGGACTATACCAATTTATAAAATTAAGTCTGCAATTACATAACTTCAAAATCTTATACTAACCCTTTCATCCAATTTTATTGTTTTAAATAACTTTTTTCTTTAATGTTACTGTAGATTAACAAAACATTGGCAAGTTTTAAGGTTCCATGTCTCATTTTGGATCCCATCCAAATCTGCAATTGCTGCAGATAATCAACAGACATATAATACAGCAGTGAAACTTATTAACATATTAACATGACATCTCTACCCCACTGTTCTGAAAGAATTTAAAACCATGCTAATGCAGTTATGACAATGAATGCAATTCACAATCTGCCATTGAGGTTTGTAATTACATCGTTTTAAAGCAGTCCTAAATTATGCAGTGGAAGGAATACACTGATTTAATCCCAACTGGGTGAAATCAGAAACCAAACAAAATTGGTGGGATAGAAAGATCATAAGGGAGATGAGAGAATTTGATGACGTGTCTTTCTGGGATTTATGTGCTTTACAGATACTTAATTACACTCCAAAAATATACACAGATTTAAATTTTTAACCTTGAGATAATTTATAATAAAAAAAAGTTACTTAAATTTGGAGTCAGAGACTTTTCTTTAAATTCTCTTACAAATGAAATTTCACTCACAAATTTGGAAGCCATTTCAGAAATTTTAACACTATGCTTCTAAAGAGATGGGGAAAAAGGAACAAAACTCTAGCAGTGTATTTGCTGAATACTTTTGTAACCACGATAATTATATACAAAGGGTAGTTTTTGCCCCAGCGACTCTCCTTGCAAAATCGGTGGCTGGGCAGTGACTCATGTTACAGGTCGCCTGAACGTCCCTTTGTGTCTGTACTTCTATTGTTCAGCCTATTCTGACTTGTATTTCAAAAGTGCAGACCCGATTTTACATATGCAGTTAGGATGTTCTGCTTTAGTATAACACCTGGAATTTTTTTTTCTGCTTTGAAACATTATGTGAACTCACCAATTCTAGTGCTGCCAAGTCCTTAGAAAGGAAATAGAAACCTAATAAGCATTGGCTAAAAGTTTTTTCCAAAATGGTGCTTTTCCTGAGATGCACAGAAGCATATTTGGGTGCCTTGAAAGAAGGAAATACTGAGCAGACAGAATTTCCAATGAAAGATAAACTTGAAAGAAAAAAGTGAAAGGACACTAATATCAAGTGACCCCAAAAGACCTTTTATGAGAAAAGAGAGAATATTATTTTTCCCCAGCTGAGCAGTGTCAACCAGACTACAAACAAACACAGAAAAAGCTAGCATGATATGGTAAGGAAAACTGATTTTGTCAAGTCTATTTTATTTTTAGAGGGTTTCATTATAACAGCAATGTAGGAGATTGTTTCCTGAGATAAATTCATGTTTATCTCCATGACAAGTAAAAAGTGGGACCAGAGATATTTTATACATTTGGATGTCAACATACAAATACCGTAGACTAAGGATAGGTGTGATGGCTTATACCTGTAATCCTAGCACTTTGGGAGCCTAGGTGGGAGAATTGCTTAAGCCCCAGAGGTCAGGCTGCAGTGAGCTGAGATTTTGCCACTACATTCCAACCTAAGCTACAGAGCAAGACCCTGTCTCAAAAATATAAAACAAAACAAAACAAACAACAAATATCATAGACTAGAAACAAATGTGGAACCCACAGCAAGGCTTGTCACGGAGGGGCTGGCTATCCCATTGCAGCATGTTTCTTCTCACCTGTTCTCTGTACTCCTTGACCCCATTCTTACCTTGCCTCTAAGCCATTGCACATGCATTCCCATGAGGCTCAGGGACACAGAAGAGGGGCTGCCAGGAGCCCCATGGGCCTTCCCAGACTCCTGTAGGCCCAGTGTGTTGCCAATCGCTTTGTTAGAAGATGATCACGCAGATTTGGAACATGAGGTGAATAGTGTTTATGGTGAGAGAAGACGAACTAAGCGGATAGGATGTAAGGAAACTATATAGACCTTGCTTTAGAAGAAGACAGCTGACCATTGATTTAGAAATGGCAATAGCTGTTGACCATGGTAAATAAGACAGACAGTGAGGAATTCAGCTGTGCTTTCAAACAAAATTATACTATAGATGATGAAATGATAGACTCATAATTATCAAAGTTGTTGGCATAATAACTATAATAATAAGATCCATGAATGGAGTGTCTTTATTTCTTTATCTCCTGGGTAAACAAGACTGTTTACCCAGGAGATAAAAATCTCTGGCCATAAAATTAGGAAGGTTCAGTTTAAAGAAACTGAAGATCCCTAACCCTAAGAAGAACCAGCCACTGATTCACCTGCTGATTGAGTAGTCATTATGGGACCAATGCTGGAATGGACCTCCCTGTGTCATTTAAGCAGGGATTTTCCTGTGGCCAGGTGTGGTGGCTCATGCCTGTAATCCCAGAACTTTGGGAGGCCAAGGTGGGTGGATCACCTGAGGTCAGGAGTTCGAGACCAGCCTGGATGACATGGTAAAACCCCCTCTCTACTAATAATACAAAACTTAGCTGAGCATGGTGGCGCATGCCTGTAATCCCAGCTACTTTAGAGGCTGAGGCAGGAGAATCCCTTGAACCCTGGAAGCAGAGGTTGCAGTAAGCCAAGATCGCACCATTGTACTCCAGCCTGGATGACAAGAGTGAAACTCCATCTCAAAAAAAAAAAAAAAAAAAAAGATGGGATTTTCCTTGAGTTATAAGTATCCTGAATTATGCGTTTCTTTCTAGTAGCCAGTCAGTAAGCATGCTCCTTGATTCATACCCCGCAAGCATAGCAGCAGCAAACTGCAGTTTTCAAGACACCTGAATATAGTTCTCTCTCTGACTTGCTCTTAGGTGAGTCTTAGATGATAGGGTTATTAGTCTACTCTTCTGTAAAACTGGGGAATTCGTTTATATTCCAGCTCTAAAACTCTGGGTTAGTATTCTGCTGTTCTGAACAACTCATTGTAAAAGTAAACTCATGAAATGTTCATTGTTTACTTTGAAAACAAAAGGCACCAGCTGTCCAGTACTGATTGTTAGTTGGGGCAATGGGAGGATGAGAAGCGTAAACTGCAATAGGGATGCTACCACCACCGTATGGCCATTTAGCCTAATGATTGGGGTAATCCTGCTATCTAGGAACATCAAGTCTTATTACTCATCTTCAGAACCAAATTGTGGAAGAGATATCTTGTTATAGTCAATTGGCATCAAAAAGTGTGCTTTCATATCTATTACTTTAGTGCCTCACAACTAGCCATTCAGGGTCCAAAATTCTGTCAAACCCCCTGATTTTCTACTCTGTTTAAACTCAATTTTTCCACTCCCATTGATGTTGTCCAAGGTCAGGAATTCATCCTCTCCAGGCACAGGGGCCTGAAGACAATCCTTTCTTCACTCTTCTTCATACTCTGTTTGAAATCCTGCAGGATAAGGTCAAACCCCTTTACTATGTCCGGCTATTCCACATGACTGACAACCCCTGGTGCATGGCTGTGCCTTGCCATGTCGGCAAACGTCTGTCAATCCTGTTGCCTCTGTTGGGCATGTTCTTTCCCCACCACCTGCCTGGCAAATCCTCAATCAGCCTTCAAGACTCAAGAATCTCTATTTAACTGCCAGGGCCCTCCTTCTCCCAAGCAGAGCTGATCGCTCTGTTGAGACACA